TGGTAACGCCCCGCGCTGCTTTGCAGGGACGGCCCCGAGAGCGGAGTCGCGCTGAGCGCCGCGCCCTTCAAGCAGCTCGTCCTGTCGGCGCTGCGGGAGCGGCCCCGCCCTTCGGGCTGCTCCCGGCAGTGCGCACACAGGCCTGGGCTTCCTTTCGGCGAGTCACCGGGCGCGGGCAATGCCAGCCGCTCTCGGGGGGCCTGGCCGTCTGCGGCTCAGCACACGGGGGCCTGCAGCACCGTGGGACTGACGACAAATGCAGGTGATACGATGCGTTTCGTGGGTGCCCACAGCCGCTCATGAGACTCGCTACATTTGTTGTTCGTTTCTAAGGTGCTGCAGGACTAGTTGTTGTTTCTTAATTTTAGCAGGAGACGCAGGCACGCAGAAAATATAGCTCATTGGACTGGGGCTTGGGGTCCTAGGATTTATTCTTGGTCTCGCCACTGATTTGCTGGTGCAGCAAGTCATATCCCCTTATTGCTTGAGTTTTGCCGGCTATAAAATTGTGATAATGATGCTTTGTAAAATGCTTTGAGATCTTTGAATGAAAAGGGCTCTATAAAAGCTGGACATTACAATGTTGTTCTAATAATTTCTGTTGGAGAACCTGGAACTCGGACATTCATAAACTGATGTAAAAGCAGTGAATAAGGCTCATTTAACAGTAGTGCCCTGTTTGTGCATAGGTTGGTGCAGCCTTGCCTGTTGATGTCTTAACATATGAGGAAAAGACCTTCTCTGCAATACTAAGAGTTCCTAGCAGGTAAGACACTGATTGCATATCCAGTACCTTGCCAAGTACAAACATGAAAAAGTAAGATGTAAGCTACTTATTTTCAAATTAACAATTATTTATACAACTTCTGACAGTTTCCTGACCAAATAAGGACAAAAACAATAGGGGTGATTTCATTGTCGAAGCAAACGCCTCACTCAGTTTACGCGGCTAAACAGACAGTTTTATTGGCCAATAAAAGCAAAGTGAGCCAAACGTGGTCTCAGCAAAGCCGGGTCCAGTAAGGCTGCTTAATACAATCAATCCTAGTATTTTATACCCTTAACCAAACAAGTCTGACATCAGGGCAAGAAATCAAAGAGAACTTCAAAGAGGAATTATTATCAGCATAGAAAGAAACAGGTTAAAAGGGAGTTCGAGCTTCAGCTCAAAATAGTTCATTAACACATTCCAACAGCGCATCCCTCTGGTCTCTCCCCACCTCGGTGAAGGCCAGTTCACTCCCTCGTGCAGACACAAGAAACTGAAATGGCTTTTTGTTATACAGAATGGCTTCTAGCTAAATATGAAATAGCTTCTACATCATAGACCTGCAGGGATGGAAGAGGCCTTGGGAAGTCTTCAAGTCAAGCCCTTGTATTGAGGTGGGACCAAGTAAACCAACACCATCTCTGATAGCTGTGTGTTCTCATTCTTAAAAACCTCATGTAGTGGAGAGTCCACAACCTCCCTTGGAAGTCCGTTCCAGGGCTTAAATACCCTTCTTATTAGAAATTTTTGTTTAATAACAACCTAAACCTCTCTTGAACCATGACTACTACTGCCTTCAGTGAACAGGGAGAACAATTGATCACTGTCCTCTTTGGCTACGTCTAGACTGCATCCCTCTGTCGACAGAAGGATGCAAATCAAGCACGTCAAAGTTGCTAATGAAGCAGAGATTTAAATATCCTGTGCTTCATTAGAATAAACATGGCCACTTTTTTTCAAAATGGAGCTTTTTTTGGAAAAAACGGCAGTCTAGACGCGGATCTGTCGAAAAATAAACCCTTTTTCAACAGATCCTGTAAGCTCCATTTTGAAAAAAAGTGGCCATGTTTATTCTAATGAAGCACAGGATATTTAAATCTCTGCTTCATTAGCAACTTTGACGTGCTTGATTTGCATCCTTCTGTCAACAGAGAGGTGTAGGCTAGACACAGCCTCTATAACAGGCCTTAACATACTTGATTATTATCAAGTCACTCCTCAGTCTTCTTTTCCCAAGACTAAACATGCATGGGGTTTTTAAGCTTTCCTCGTGGGTTATATTTACTAAACCTGTTTGTCTGTTGCATTCTTTGATAAGATAACAAGCCTTGTGGATGAGGAGAATCATAAACAATCTAGGGAAATGAGATGGAAGGACATGTGGAGTGGAGTTTCAGAGAGATTAGTTATGGGTCCAGTTCTTGTTCAATATCTTCATCTGATTTAGATGACGCCAGGGAGAGTACATTTACAGAGTTTTTAGACACTTAGGAAGGAACAATCAGTGGCACGCATTCAAGACTGAAAATGACTTGTGTAGGAAGGAGTACCCCAGACCAATTTTCTTCCACTATTTGATCTGAGGAAGTGGGTCTGGCCCACAAAAGCTCATCACCTAATAAACCATCTTGTTAGTCTTTAAAGTGTTACATAGTCCTGTTTTTTTTTTTTTTTTTTTTTACGGCTACATTTCTATCACTATGGATCATAAGTGTAACTCTTCCACTCTACTCCATGTTGATTAGGCCTCAGTTGGAATATTGTCCAGTTCTGGGCACCACATTTGGAGAAATTGGGAAAAGTCCAGAGAGGAGTAACAAAAATGATTAAACGTCTAGAAAAACATGACTTGTGAGGCAAGGTTGAAAAAATTGAGTTTGCTTAGTCTGGAGAAGACTGAGGGGGAACATAATTGTTTTCAAGTACCTGAAATGGGTGGGGAACCTTTTTTTGGTTGGGAGCTGCTGACCCACAGAAAAATCAGTCGGGGACTGCACACAAGTGAGAAACCAAAAAAAAGAAAACCCCCAAACTCCTCACTGACGTGACGTGACGTGACATGGCCCCTGACTGAGAAGAAGAAAGACACTCCCTTGCACACCGGGGCCTAGGCTAGTAGATTTTATGTGCGTCAGCCCCAATGGGGCAGTGGGAAGGCTGAAGTGCCAGCGCAGGCTCCCTAATGCTTGAGGGAAAGGGGCTGAGTCTCAGGGACCTGGATCCAGGCCCCTGGTACTGAGGTCCCCTGCCCCTCACCTAAAAATGGTTACAAAGAGGAAGAAGAAAAATTGTTCTTAACTTCTGAGGCTCTGTCTACACCGGGGTTTCCCAACCTATGGGTTGGGACACAAATACAGGTTGCCATTACATTTCAAAAGGGTTGCCAGGTGGCTCTTAAGGAGCCATTCACACATTTTTTTTGAATTGCCCTGGATTACCAAATCTTCCTGAATTGTCAAATCCCCATCTGGAAAAGGTTGGGAACTGCTGGTCTGCACTGTCAGGTTTTTGTGGAAGAGGAAATGCAAATGAAGTGCTGATTAGCATTTATCATGCTCTCATTTGCATATTCTCTTCTGATCCTTTTTGCAGAAGAGGTTTTTGTGGAAGAAAAAAAAAAATGGCCCTGTCTACACTGCATTTTTTTTCTTCCACAAAAACCTCTTCTGCAAAAAGGATCAGAAGAGAATATGCAAATGAGAGCATAATAAATGCTAATGAGCGCTTCATTTGCATTTCCTCTTCCACAAAAATGATGCTGTGTAGACAGAGTCTGAGAGTGAGACAAGAAGTAATGGGTTTAAACAAGGGAGGTTTTGATTAGACATTACAATGTCCCATCCAGGTGTCTAAGCACTGGAATTAATTGCCCAAAGAGGTTGTGGAATATTCATTATTGGAGATTAAGAGCAGGTTAGACATACACCTGTTAGGGATGATCTTGGATGATGTTTTTTTCCTGCTATGAAAAAGTACCTTGCCAGGAGCTGGACTAGCTGGCCTCTCAAGGGCCTTTCCAGTCCTATAATTCTTGTGCGTTGCTGGGGTGTATGTGAATACTACTTAGTGATCACTCATGAGTATATTTTTTTCTAACTGTACTTGAATTTCAAGAGAGATCTATGAAGCAACTGGTCTGGGGCTAGTAGAAGCTTCATTCTTCACTGATAAGAGAAAACTCTGCTGAAGGAGGCAGCTTTTTCACACTGAATCAAGTGGCTGCTTAGGAGTCTGGATGAGGAGACACACAGCTTTATTGGCACCCAGATATTCTGTACTGTATTTTTGTATTGCCCTTCTCACGCTGGTATCAGAGTGCCGCTCAGGAGCGCATTAGATGTCATGGTATATTCTCTCTCTCATCCTCTCTGGGATAATTATGTGTGTAGTGTACGCCGTATGTCTTTTGTTTTGGATTTTTGAATGTACCCTCTGCTACATGTTAGAGAAGGCAGGCTGAAATGCGGCCTGGCATTTGCTGTGGAAGATGATTAAGAAGGGAGCAAAAATACATGATTTCTCTATTTTAAAAGTTATGCAAAATACCTTTTTTAAGGTGTGAAATCCAGTAACTGGCCTTTTAGAGCAGTCTATATCCCTGTTATCTTTCAACATATAATACTGTATGGCCTGCATAATTTAAATTCTAGAAGTTCAAGCAAGGACATTAAAAGTTTCTCTGCTCTGTGGCTTTCTCCGTGACCCTGAGTAAATTACTTAATGGCTCTGTAATGGTGTCGTTTTCTATAAATTGAGGAAAAGTGAGCAGCTTTATAAAGCACTTGGAAACTTTTGGGTATAAAGCAGTAACTAACTTGGAAGTAATCATTTAGTTCTAAGAGAAATATTAAAATGCTAGGAATCAAAAGATCAATAAAAAGCAGACTTAAGAAACCACCTCAAACATGCCACATTTCCATTGACATTTGTGGGTTTTTAGTTTTCTGACTTGGTGACCTTAAAAATGTGACTCGCCCAGAATAATTAAAGTGACACTGTAGTCTAAATAGTGACTAGCATGTGTAATCTCAGAACTACTTGACATTTCTTTTTCTTGCATGTAGTCCTATCTGCACCATTTAGTTACAAAAGTAAGCCGTACTAGTTGCATCTGCAGACTAGTGTTCCCTGTAAGCTGTGCAATCATACACCTTTCTCAGGAGAGATTCAGGTGTGTCTCAGCTGATTAGCAGAGCTCTCTCAGCTAGGTTTTTTTTTACTGGTGGTGCACATTCACACATGCCTCAGTGTGCATAAAAATGTATTCGACAAACAGGTGGAAAAGATTAGAGGGAACATTGCTACAGACCCAATACAGGTTAGCGTGAATTGGCTACTTTTACTTGGACATGGACAGAATTGGTTCCAGGGCCAATCAGTTACACCTGCTGAAGGCACCAGTTGAAGGCAGTAGTGTTGGCAAAATTGGGTCCAGGTGATCAGGCATGACCTGGAAAGGACCCAGCTTGACTTGTCTAGTTGGAGTATGCAGGGCTGGAGGTTAAAGACTAAAACATCTTTTAACTTAAACTGATCAAATTTGACATGTACTCACCAAGACGATCAGTGTGGATACATAAAGGGTTCATATCTTAAAACAAAACGAACAGGCTGGTGCAATATGGAAACATCTGTCTGTTGTCCCTTCCTGTGTGAAGAGGTAAAGAGCAGTTGAGGGTACTGAAGATGAATGGAAACTATTGGGAGTGAGGAAGAGAAAGATTAAAGGCACGGTGGGGGAGATTCAAGAAGGGGCCCCAAAAAGGGTTTGACAAGGGCAAAACCCAAAAGCCTGAATTGTATTAAATACCTCATACCATAGATAAAACAAACTACACTGAAGAATAATTGTCACAAGTAAACTTGCCACCAGCACTCACTGATGAAAATATCAGCTGTTAAATCCATTTGGGAATTCATTCTTCTTTCTGATTTGTAGTGTATCGCTATATAAAGAGCAGGAAAACCTTTGAGGCGGGGGAATCCTAATCTATTTAATTTTGTCATTATTTAGTGGCCTTGTCAAGCTATGGAGTGCTCTAACACTGCTGGGCTCCTACCAGAACAGGAAGTGTGCTTTCAGAGTGATACAGGTAAGGGCTGGGGAACTCAGGGACCTGCCCCTGAATGTTACTTTTTTTTAGGATTACTCCACCTACTCAAGTACACAGAACCTCTTACTAGAGAATGGCTTACTTGTGTATGCACTGATCAGTTTTCAGTGTTAAATAACGGTAAGGGCAAATGTGGCAGAGATTGGTGAGTGATCGAATCTGTCTTATTACTGAAATTTAGTCCACGTAAATTGTCATGGCACAGTCTCTCTTCACACTGCCTAGTGCTTGCAACAATCTCTTGTTGTCATATCTAGGATTGTCCATGAGGAAGATGCTGTGAATGATCTTTCCTTTTGGGGTTCCCATAGATCTCATCTTGTAAAACTAGACTCTCCCATCTAAGTTCATCACTTTACATATCTACTACAGCGAGGTCAGGTCTGCTCTCATTGCCCAGTTCTGGAGGAAACTCATTTCCATGGCAGTTTGTCCGTGGCCCTCATCTGGGTACAAAGGTGGGTTTTTTTCCCACTGTTGCTCAGCTGATCCCCCTTGAAGCCCCATTGCATGTGAACTCCAGAGCCCAATGCTTGTTCCTTCTGACATGTCACATATGTGTCACGACATGCTTGTTCGTTCTGCCACGTAACTTGCAGTAACTTGAGTCTGGGAGCTGGAGTGGGCCTCCAAGTGCCTTAACATGGTTGATTTAAGTTGGGATGTTAGAGTTGAACTGGCTAACTGCTAAGCTGATACTTATCAGTTAAACTCTGCCCTGCTCTGGAGGAGGCTGCTGCACTTAAGCAGTGAAGCTTCTTCCCCAGGAGCAGGGCCACCAGCCCTTACCCCTGGGGTAGCTTCACTGTGGGCTCTGCAGTATAAAGCTTCCTTAAGCCTTGTACTACAAAGCTCGCAGTGCGTGTAATAGTAACTGCTAAGATTTTTAGCTTTTACATGGGTACTTCAGTAAATTACTTTTAACAGCCCTTGCTGAAGTTGCTCTAATTTTACTTTAAATGGGGGAAATTTAGTTGCTGTGGGTCTTTTTAATCTTTCCTGCTGGAAACATACAGAAGTGTATGGTGTGATACACTTTTCCTAATGCTTCATCTTTCTTCCTCCCCCAGACCTCTCCATTTCTCCTTGCGTTATCTGGGAACAGTAGAGAACTCATATTGGATTGAATACACGGGAGACATGGTTGGACTGTAAGAAGCAAAAGTTGTTGAAGATGTTGGCACCACTCAGACCTAGAAATTTTAGTGGGAATTTCAGAAGAATTACCCTGACAAAACCAGACATGACCAGTGCATTGCTTAGATTTCCCTCTCTTCAGTGTTTACACATACAAGTTGGAGACAAGGCTGAACTTACTAAAGCCTTCACACAGAAGGATGTTGCTAGTTTTGCTGACTTAACTGGAGACACAAACCCACTGCATTTGAATGAAGACTATGCAAAGAGAACTAGGTTTGGGAGAACAATTGTACATGGAGTTTTGATCAATGGACTTATTTCTGCAGTTTTAGGTACTAAAATGCCTGGCCCTGGTTGTGTGTTTATTTCTCAAGAAATTCACTTTCCAGCTCCCTTGTACATTGGAGAAGAAGTCTTAGCTGTAGCAGAAGTGAAAAGACTGAAGAGATCTATTGCATACATCTCAGTATCCTGTTCTGTTAGGGAAAGTGAAAAGATTGTTATGGAAGGGATAGTGAAAGTCATGGTGTCACAAGGTCAGCCCTCATGACTTCATGGTGCTTTGTTCTATAAAAAGTTCAGAAATATGTAGAGGTTTTACATGTATGGTACCTCAAACCTTGGTAAGAGTGCCTGTAAAAACACTTTCAAGGACACAGTTTGCTGTTAAGTGCTACTGGGCTTTGTGGGGGAGAGATGTCAAACCTCACTTTTGATGGCGTGGAAAGACACCCAGATGAATATGATCCATACTTATCTTAGATCTATTACCATGATGTGCAACCAAGCCTATTCTGTTCCCTAGCTTAACTGTCACCAAAATAAACATCACTGTTTACTGGAACCTTTTAAAAGGAATATTTACCTCACATAATGTTCTGGAGTTGGTCACAGAAATTCCTGTCACCTGACTAGCAAAAATGGAGCCAAGATAAGTATCAATGATAGATTAATATAGTATTCTCTTGGTTTCTTGTTACCATCACACAGTATGTGCTACTTTTCACGTGTCTAATATGTTACTTACTTAGTTTGAGGTTCTAGATGTGGCAAAGGGCCAAATCTCTCCCACCCCTTACTTGTATGAATTCAGGGAATTGAAGTCTAAGGGACTATGTGGGTGAATAAAGCAAGCAACATTTGATTCATGTTGACACATGCACCTCGCCTCCTCTCCCCTGATTTAAAAGAATGAAAAGCTATGTGAATACAGCCAGTTATTCAAACATTGCTTTTAGTGTGGTAGCTCTTGTTTTTCACAAATTAATGCATTGTCCACTTAAATGAAAATTAAGGCTGTCATTGTCCCATACAATAAAAAATGGTTTGTATTTAGGTCTTAGATAATATCCTAGAAGTGCTAAACTACAAACTAAATGTAATGTGGTAATCCGTCTCAAATATAGGATCTCCTAAAACTAAATGAGGGAACTTTACAAACATAACATGGCTAAACATGGTGGCTACATCTAGATGGCATGATTTTCTGGAAATGCTTTTAATGGAAAAGTTTTCCGCTAAAATCATTTTCAGAAAAGAGAGTCTAGTTTGACACTGGCCTCTTCTGGAAGAACTCTTGTACAAAAGGGCTTCTTCCTGAGTGGGAGCATCAGAGTTCTCGTGCAAGAAGCCCTGATTTTATACATTAGAATGTCAGTTTACTTGCGCAAGAACACGCGGCCAGTGTAGACAGGCAGCAAGTTTTTGCACGCAAGAGCGGCTGCTTTTGCGTGAGATCGCACCAGTGTAGACACAGCCCAAGTGTATATCTGGCTCTCTTAAAAGTTTTTAAAGGCAGCCAAGACTTTTTCAACTGCACTCTAGAGACAATGTTGTGAACAAGGTAAAAGTGAGAGAGAGCTGCACAGTCAGTGACTTTATAAGATAAAATGAAGTAAAATAAAAGTGTGTTAATTGGAGGGCACGTATAGTCTGTTTAGTTTCTTTACTTTCACCAGAACTCAGCATCACCTCTTGTTGATGCAACTAAAAATAAAATGGCAGGAAGCAGAGTCACCAGAAGGAAGCCTTCTTCACTATTCAGGAGCTAGTGAAAAAGCAGATCTATTCCTGGCTGTAACTCTTGCCACTGAATTCATAGTATAAAGTAGTCAAATCTCTGCCTCAAAACATGGCTGATTATTCTGTGATAGCTCAGACTTGTTTAAACTTCTTTATAACACACTTTTATTTTTGTCTTCTGGCAGATTGTCATCTCTGGTGATCTGTTTGGAAACAAGAGACTTAATTAAATTAAAAAGAAAATAGGGCTCATCAACCAGCTGGTAGATCTTCCTGTGTGCGCCATCCAAGCAATAATTTTTAATCTACATCTGTGGTGTTTTGCATCATATCCTTTTAATAACCTGCAGCTTGTGTGCCTGGCTCTCATAAGCATATCCTGAGAGTGCTTAAAATAAAATTGTAGCTGATAATGTTGATATTGAAGCTAGTAACTGATGAGATTATCACATTCAGCTCCTCCAACTCGCTTTGTCATGGAGGTCTTGCTTCAGAGCTTAAGGGAGTCTGTAGGCACTGACAACAGCCACAGCTCACCCTCTCTGTTGTGGAGAAAAAACTTTAAAAATGAGGCTGTCAGCAATAGTGACCTTGAAAACTACGTCCAGACTGGCATGATTTTTCCGGAAATGCTTTTAACAGAAAAGTTTTCAGTTAAAAGCATTTTCGGAAAAGAGCGTCTACGTTGGCACGGATGCTTTTCCGCAAAAGCACTTTTTGCGGAAAAGCGGCCGTGGCCAATTTGGACACGCTTTTCTGCAAAAAAGCCCCGATCGCCATTTTCGCCATCGGGGCTTTTTTGCGCAAAACAAATCTCAGCTGTTTACACTGGCTCTTTTGTGCAAAAGTTTTGCGCAAAAGGGACTTTTGCCCGAACGGGAGCAGCATAGTATTTCCGCAAAAAGCACTGATTTCTTACAGTAGGAAGTCAGTGCTTTTGCGGAAATTCAAGTGGCCAGTGTAGACAGCTGGCAAGTTTTTCCGGAAAAGCGGCTGATTTTCCGTAAAAACTGGCCAGTCTAGACACAGCCAACTTGTAAGTATAGCCTAAGATTTACTTGTTTGTCATATAAATTAGCCGTGTGTCCTAGGATTGGTCTACTTATTTGTCAATTCAAAGCAGCCACAGCACTTGGGGTGTGAAAAAAAACCACATCCTTGATACGCAGTTATGCCAACCGACCTCTGAGTGTAAATATACTATGTTGACAGAAGAACACTTTTGCTGCTGATGTACCTGACGGTTCAGAGAGATGGTGTTCCTAAGCACCTGGAAAAAAAACCTTCAGTTGGTATAGGCTGCATCTACACTTAAGACATCTTCACAATGGGTATGTCTACATTTCATTCCTCTTCCGAGAGAGGAATGCAAATGCAGACACCCGAAATTGCAAATGAAGCGCGGATTTGAACTTCCCATGCTTCATTTGCATAATGGCGTTATGGCGCTATTGCGGAATAGCACTATTTCAAGAAAAAAACAGGGTTATTTCGAGATAGGGTTCTTTCAAAGGAAGGGTTTTATCTCGAAATAACCCTGTTTTTTCTTGAAAAAGCACTATTCCACAATAGCGCCATAACGCCATTATGCAAATGAAGCATGGGAAGTTCAAATCCGCGCTTCATTTGCAATTTTGGGTGTCTGCATTTGCATTCCTCTCTTGGAAGAGGAATGAAATGTAGACATACCCTATGGGAATGTAGCTAAACCAATATTATCTCTGTAGTGTAGACATAGATTAAGCTCTGGAAAACAAGTGCAGATTAAAAATTCAACATGTTATGGGGTTGCTGGAAAGAAATACCACCAGAGCTCCAAGGCCTTTAAAAGTAAATGAAGATCCAGCTTAATTATGGTACATATGAGGACACCTTAAAAAATTCCAACAGGAGCATAGAGAGAAAGCACTGCTTTCCTTGCTGCGTCATCTGACATGACACTGAAAGAATTCTGGTGGTAGCCCCAGAAAGAGGCTTGATCTATCAAGGATTTTGATCTTCCCAAAAAGAATTTTCCATAATTCAGACAGACTTCACACAAAAGGCTATGTTCTGCAAAAGATCTGTACAGTGGAGGGTCCTGTGTTATTTCAAGGATGTTCCTTTGGCAGACAAACTTCTGGAGAAAAATTCTACCTAAACAATGGATGGCTAATTTGAATTCAAATTCGCTATTTCATTCTTTATGGAGTAGCTGTATAAAGTCTTCTGTTTTAAAAAAAAGTAGCCTGTTTTTCTCTGACATTGAGACTATAACTTATGATCGCTCAATGTGCAAATACTCTTAATTTTCTTATGACACTGTAAGAGAATAATTATTAAACTTCCATATAATTCAATGACATTCCAGAAAGCTTGTGTTCCCTTAATCAGTGTTCATACCATAGCAAATTGATGTATTCCTGACAAATACCATTTTATCATCTTATGTCTCACATAGATGGGTAATATTCTATATGCTCAACACACTCATGCTAGAACTGTGAAATTCATTCCTGTGCAGTGAAACAGAACAAGATCTGTGCATATCTAAGCCTTGTTTTTAAGGACTTATGTGGGACTCAAGTGGGACATAGGTCTTGGCCTGACTAGGTGCATATGACTGAATTTACTGTGGCACTCTGAAAATACGAGAGGTTGAATAATTATATTATTCTTTCCTGCTTCTGGCTCTACATTCCCTTAGCACCCTCACCCATTCAGAAAAAAAACGCCCCAAAGAAGTGCATTACCTGTTTTAATAGTAATGGACCTTTTGAATTCTTGTTACCTCAACTTTTGTCTTTAATTACTGGAAACATTTCAGTGGTGTTAAAAACTAAACTAGGTGAAAAGTTTGTATATACTACTCTTGTAGGTGATCTGAGGTTCACCGTTTTATGGTATTTTTCATCACTATTGGAGCAATATATGGGTTTTTTCTAATTAAAAGCTCAAAGACTTTAGAAGTCTGATTCATTTTCCAGCTTATGTAAGAATATAATGAGGTGCTGTCAGCAAATCTTTCTACTTTCAGAAATTGTTAGTCATAATAAAAATAATGAAAAGGAAAGAAGAGCATATTGCCTGAAAAACATTTTGTTTGTTGGTAAATGAAATTAGCCATAGAACTACAAAATATTATTTATATTGCACAGTAAATATGCACAGAGCTTTGAAAATACACAAAATAAATTTCCTACCTACTGTGTTCCACCTTTAGTATAAATAGAGAAAGGTCCACTAACATAGAAGCGCAGAACTGGAAGGGACCTTGAGAGGTCATCTAGTCCAGTCCCCTGCACTCATAATAGGACTAAATATTATATAAACTATTCCTGATAGGTGTTTGTCTAACCTGCTCTTAAATATCTCCAGTGACGGGGATTCCACAACCTCCTTTAGGCAACTTGTTCCTGTGTTTAACCACACTGAGAGTTAGGAAGTTTTTCCTAATGTCCAACCGAAACCTCTCTTACTGCAATTTAAGCCCATTGCTTCTAGTCCTGTGCTCAGAGGTTATGCAGAACAAGTTTTCTTCCTCCTTCTTAAACAACCTTTTAGATACTTGAAAACTGTTACCACATCTCATCTCAAAATTATCTTTTACAGACAAACCAACCCAATATTTTTCAATCAGGCCTCATAGATTATGTGTTCTAGACCTTTACTAATTTTTGTTGCTCTTCTTTGGACTTTCTCCAGTTTATTCACGTATTTCCTGTAATATAGTGCTCAGAACTAGACACAGTACTCTAGCTGAGGCCTAATCAGTGCAGAGTAGAGCAGAAGAAACGACTCATGGCTTGCTTACAACACTCCAGCTAATGCATCCCCGAGTGATTTTCACTTATTTTGCAACAGTGTCACACTGACTCATATTTAGCTTGTGGTCCACTATGACTCCCACATCCCTTTCTGCTGTGCTCCTTCCTAGGCAGTCATTTTCTACTTTGTATGTGTGTAACTGATTGTTCCTTCCTAAACAGAATACTTTGCATTTGTCCTTGTTGAACTTCAACCTATTTACCTCAGACCATTTCTCCAGTTTGTCCAGATCATTTTGAATTTTAATCCTATCCTCCAAATCACTTGCAACCCCTCCCAGCTTGGTATTGTCCACACACTTTATAAGGATACTCTCTGTGCCAATATCTAAATCGTTGAAAATATTGACCAGACCCAGAACTGATCCTTGCGGGACCTCACTCTTTATGCCCTTTCAGCATGACTGTGAACCATTGATAACTACTCTGCGATTGTTTTTCCAACCAGTTTTGCAGAGGGAAGGAAGAAGCTCCCACTGTGGGAACAGCAGCACAGGAAACAGCTTGTCTGGAGGGTTTCCCCACTGCTCTCATTGGCCAGAATCATGGCCAATGGGAGTAGCGGGGAGTGGTGGGAGATGCAGAACCAGGTAAGTGCCTCCCATCCCCTTCATATACATACCCTGCACCCCCAGCCTTCTCACTGCCACCTCCTGCCGACATCTCAAATTCCCACTCTGCTCTTGCACCCTCCCTTTCACCCAGACCTTTCTCCCCTCTCTACTCCTGCATGCAACCTCCCTCCCGGCCATATCCCCAGCCCCGCCTGCACCCATTTTGTCATGGGTTGTTGACTGGTGGTCTGCAGAAAGTTCTGCATTGAGCAGGGTGGGCTGTGGGCCCAAAAGTTTGAGAACCACTGTTCTAGATGGTTGCAAATGGATTCTTTAATTATTTGCTTTATTTACCTTTCCATGTAGTGAAGATGGGCTGAGTGGTCTATAATTTCCTAGATTATCCTTATTTCCCTTTTAATATATTGGCACTGTATTTGCCCCTTTCCAGTCTTGTGGAATCTGTTCCATGTTCCATGACTTTTCAAAGATAATAGTTAATGGCTCATATCTCCTCAGTCAGCTCCTTGAGTATTCTAGGATGTATTTCATCAGATCCTGATTACTTGAAGACATCTAACCTAAGTAATTTTTAATTTGTTTTTTTCCTATTTTAATCTCTGATCCCGTTTCATGTATCATACCACGTGTATTATAACTATGGAATATTAAGAGGTGATATTCTATTACTGTAAAAGAGTGTTGAATAAGCTTATTAGTCCTACTGGGTCTCTGAAGTTGACTTCCATTTTGATTTAAGGCTTTACTCTCCCCTCAGTGGATTAATGGCATTCATATTAATCATTTGGAAATTGCAGGCATACTGGTGTCCTTCTAAATATCCTTCATCTGGCTGACTGGAAAATGCCTGCAATGGAAAAGGTAATGTATTTATGCATGCTGCACTTGGGAATGGGAATTTAAAGACTTTCCTTTAAAATATATTGCCCTCGAGTGTTCAGTTTGTATAACTGAAGAAGTCCCAAGTTAGAGAAGATTTACTAAGACTTTCAATGTTTATTAATAAGCATTGGTCTTTTGGGGAATACTGTTTTATTTTCATTGATGGGTAAATTTGCTTTATGCACACAGTTTATTGTGCGTGAATTTGTGAGAGCTTCCCAAGAGTCCAAAGGGCCTGTGTGTAAACATTATGGTTATCCCCTAGCCAGGATTAGTTCACCTATCTCAGTGACAAGTAAACACCAATAGCAAAGGACAACTGCTGTAAGTTTAACCCACAGCTATGCTCAGAGGGATGTTGATACACACGGTGTGATTAATAAGCAGGATTTCTTCACGAGTGACTTCATCACGTCTATAGGTATTGCTGCAATAGGCTAGGTCGCAAACCCCCTCACTACCTTAACCCTTTGCATATAGTGCTCATCACAGTCAACCTCAGGTGAGTCTAGAGATGATGGTTGAAGATATTAAGAGGTGTTACAAAATCTGATTGTAAACAAACACATGACACTCAAAGATGGAATCTGTTTGTTCTAACAGGAGGGCAGTGGATTAGGAAAGGTATCAATAAAGGGCCTGTTTGCCTTCAGCCTTGTTTCTTGCCTATTGTCCAGAGTGTTTTGGTTGCCTTTTACACCCATGTCATAGAATCATAGAACGCTAGAACTGGAAGGGACCTTGAGAGGTCATTGAGTCCCGTCTCCTGCCCTCATGGCAGGATCAAGCACTGTCTCATCCCTGGCAGGTGTCTGTTCAACCTGCTCTTAAATATCTCCCGTGATGGAGATTCTACAACCTCCCCAGGCAATTTATTCCAGTGTTTACCCACCCTGCCAGGTAGGAAGTTTTTCCTAATATCCAACCTAAACCTCCCTTGCTGCAATTTAAGCCCATTGATTCTTGTCCTATCCTCAGAGACCAAGGAGAACAATTTCTCTCCTTCCTCCTTGTGACACCCTTTTTGATACTTGAAAACTGCTATCATGTCCGTTCCCAGTCTTCCCCTTTCCAAACTAAACAAGCCCAATTCTTTCTGTCTTCCCTCATAGCGGGTACAGTAACTCAGAAGGTGCAAAGCAGTGAAGAATTGGGGCATTTAGAGAGTTGGGGCAAATCTAGATTAATTTATATTGCTAAACGCTATTTGCTCATCCCCCGCTGACTGAAATGTGCCTTTGGGGCCAGATCCCCCAGGCCTTTGGTGATTGCTAGTGGTGCTAAGCAGTGCTGCAAATAGATTTGGCTTTTGGGGAGTAAAGAATAGCTGAGCCTGAGGTTAAGTCTGCACTCCCACTTAGGGTTGCCAGGTGTCCGGTTTTGAACCAGACAGGACAGTATTTGAGCTTTCTGTTCAGGAAACAAATTGAGAAAATAGAACTGAGAAAATATAAATGTCGGGTATTTTCTAAATCATATGGAATGTCGATTGTGATGTAATGTCAAGTGTGTCCGGTATTTTTGTTGAAACCATCTGGCAACCCTACTCCCACTTTCCTGTGCTGCCACATTCTGGTTCAGGCGCATGAAAAAACACCCCACCGCAGGTGCAGCAAGTTCCGGAGCAGTAAAGCGCCAGTGCAAACATGCTCCCAGTGCTGTTAGCTTCTCCCCTCGTGCAGGTGCTTTATGTATTGCACTGGGACAGCTCTCTCCCAAGGGCTGGGCCAGGGCCTTATTTTCACTTCATAATGCTGCCACCAGGGCAGTCCCTAGCAATGCTGGTGCCCTACGCAGCCCAGCACCTGGCTGCACCCCTCTTGCATGACTGGGGCTTGCGGGGGCTGGGGCGAAGCTAAGGGGTGCAAAGCACTGCCGGGCAGGGAGGCTCACCTGAAGCCTCAGGTGGGAGGTGCAAGTGGCAACAAGTGGCATCAGCCTGCAGGTTGGAGGACTCATGAAGAGCAGCGGGTGGCTGCCAGCCAGAGAGAAGCAGAAGTTTCCCCTTCTGCTCTGGACGGCAGCGTAGCTGCCCGCTGCTCCTTCTGAAGCCTCTGGTCCACAGGCTCACGCTGCTTGCCACTGCCTGGTGAGCAGCAGCTGGCACAGTCCACAGGGGGCCAGCTGGGATGGGGCTGGCACCAGGAGCTGGCTCTGAACCCATGGGTGGACGGGTGGACCACCCGATCATCAGAGCCGATAGCCCGGTCATCAGAGCCGATAGGCAGCATACAGCTGCTAGGGAACCATGAAATCTCAAGCAGCTGTATAGATTGTGTATCGGTACGGCTGGCCTTGGCTGCCATGGCAGCTCTTTCATTTTAGAAGTGTATGCAAAGCCTGAATCATTCTAGCCTCCATTGAGTTTTTGCCAGCATGTAGAGAGAGGCTGCCATGAACCTTTTAAAATTGCCCACCAGCATGGAGCAATGGAGAGAGTCAGGAGCAAAAGGACCATTCCTTCTTATCAGCTGGTGAATCTTGTTTAGTTTGAGGGCCAAAAGTCCTCTATCTCTGCCCATTACCCCTATCAATGCCTTGCATAGCATCTCCAACCTCCTGGGAAATACAGGAATTGGGAGCTACCACTCACCTCACAAAGTGTTCTTTGTTTTTCACTGTTCTTTGTTTAAACTGCTATTCCCCAGGCAGTTTAGCAAAAGCCCCATGATGGTCAAATATTCTAAAATATTGACTTTCCAGATCGTCTCCTATTGTGAAGTGAATGGTGTTTTATCCTCACAAAGCTGGCCCGCATTGTAATGCAAAGGTAAACAAAAGTTCAGCAAACAAGCCAGGGCTGTAATCTAGCTTCTTAAAATGGTAGGGGTTGGGATGCAGGCAGGTAGGAATGGAGGAGGCCTTTTTTGTATTCAGTGTCATCTCCCAGAAAAAAAAATGTTGAAGCTGCTTTGTCTGGATGCACTGGGTTTAGCTTCAGTCACTTCTGGCACAGAACCAGAACTGACTGCACATGACTTTCAGTTTCTTTTTCTCAGTTTGAGGTGCTTCCTTTGGTTTCTTTTCTATTATTACACAGGGCCTAACACAGCCAGTTGCTGAGTCTCATTAACACTCAGTGAGGAGGTGTCAAGTGTGCTCAGGACCTCTCAGGATCAGGCCTTTTCTAGATAACCCTGGAGATTTTCAAAGGCCTAAAGGCACCCCCAACTCTCCAATTCTCCTTTTCACATTAAGTCCTTTTCCTTCTACCTCTTTGGTGTGCAGTTCTGTGTCCATTTGATATGATGGGCGAAGTTGGGGGGGTTGTTGGGGTGCTGAAAGCCATTGAACAAAACTGTAATCCTTGTACACATGCTGGCAACTGCTCCAAGCAAGGCAGTGCTGCTGCACCCCCAGCATTCCTAAGTAAGAAGTCACATCCCACTGTGTTGGTGGGAATAGGGGACATAGTACTGGGGAATGGTGCTAGTGGGTGCTGCGGCAGAGGACAGGCTGCCAGTGGGGACAGAGTTCTGTGGCCCGAGACAGGGGAATGAGGACAGAGTTCAGAGAGTGGGGATGGGAATGGGGACAGTTCTGTAGCTGAGGACAGGGGAGTGGGGACAGAGTTCTGTGGCTGGGGAGAGGGAACTGGGCCGTGGTGAGTGGGAATGGGGGAGTGGGGACAGGGGTGGGGGACCAGTGGAGGCAGAGAGTCCCCTGCATCTGCCTCCTCCCAGGATTCTCCCCGCCCCGGGAAGACCTGTGCGCACCTGCCCTGGGGCTGACTCACCCCTCCTGTGCGGGGCAAGGAAGACGCTGTGCTCCTTCTCCGGAGCCAATGCTCCCTCCCACAGTGCACCCGGCAGAGCAGCTAGCGCACTTCCGGAATCACCGGAAGTGGCGCTAAGCTACAGGACTTCTGTTCATTCTCGGGGGTGGGGCGGAAATGGGAGGGGGCCGGGCAGGACGCTTCACGATCGACTGATCGAGGCCTTGTGATCGACCAGACAATCGTGATCGACCTGTTGGTGACCACGGCCTTACAGGGAACACTGGTAATAAATAGCAGAAAGAGATGGGACCATTGCTGGGGTCAAGTTGGAAGTGAAAAAATAGAAAGGGAGCAGTGCTATTTCAAGTAATACCATGATGGTGACTACTTGCTTACAACACTCCTCTTAATACATCCCAGAATGATGTTCACTTATTTTGCAACAGTGTCACACTATTGACTCATATTTAGCTTGCAGTCCACTACAACACCCTCCCCCCCCATCCCTCTCTGTAGTACTCCTTCCTAGACAGTCACTTCCCTATTTGTATGCGTGAAACACATTGTTTCTTCCTAATTACTTTGCAGTTGTCCTCATTTAACTTCATCCTATTCATCTCAGACCATTTCTCTAGTTTGTCCAAATCATTTTGAATTATGACCCTGTCCTCCAAAGCAGTTGCAACCCCTCCCAGCTTGGTATCATCTGCAAACTTAATAACCGTACTCTATGCCATTAACTAAATCATTGATGAAAATATTGAACAGAACCGGTTCCAAAATAGATTCCTGCACAACCCCACTTGTTATGCCCTTCTAGCATGACTGTAAACCATTGATCACTACTCTCTGAGACCAGTTATTCAGCCAGTTGTGCACCCACTTTATAGTAACCCCATCTAGGTTGTAGTTCCCTAGTTTATTGATACGGTCACATGAGACTGTATCAAATGCTTTACTAAGGTGTAGGTTAGTGGTCCCCAACACTGTGTTTGTGGGTACCATGGCGCCCGCCAGGGCATTTCTGTGCACCCGCCTAGTGACCAGGGCCGGCCTGAGCTATTCTTGTGCCCTGCCACCCGGCACATGTGTGGCCTCGCCCCCGGGAGCCTGGCAGCCCCAAAAGGTTGGGAACCGCTGGTCTAGGTATACCATGTCCACCTCTTCCCCCTTATCCAGAAGGCTTGTTACCTTGTCAAAGAAAGCTATCGACTTGGTTTGATGTCATCTGTTCTTGATAAATCCATGCTGGCTGTTACTT